CATGACGCATGCGGCGCACCGCGGGGATGGGGACGCATGAGCGGACTGTATTGCTCGGACATAGTCATCTGTAGGAACAGGAATTCTTCCGCTGCATTAGTCATGCTGACGAGACAGACAAATGTGAATGTGCGTGTGTTTTATATTATTTGTGGGGCACACATGACGGTGCGAAGGCACCGATTCTGAGACAGTTCGTTCGCGACAGAGGACAGACAAACAAAGAAGTCCGGTTGAAACGCGACATGGGAATAGCTAGGATAGAGATGAAGGTGTACATTAAGACACTGGTGAGATGAGAGATGCGATATCCGTAAGGAATCTCGTGTCAGAATATAACTTGGATCCATTAATGTAGGGAGTCAGTTCAGTTAAATGATCGTGATTCAAGGCACAACATGTGAAGGGCGCCAGTACGTTGAATCGCGTTGCCATGAGCATAGAAGAGAGAACGGAAAAATAGCAAGAAACGAGCAAACGAGAAAGGAAAATAAGTCAGTCTCATGCAACTGCCCACCTTCAACACACTCAACTGGTCAGAACAGGCAATGTGTAGGTGAGGTAACCTGAATTTCATTTTAGTTTGCGAACTCTGCTTCAACTACTGCTGATGCACATTCGGCGCCATCATCAGCATCATCAATGTTGTGTCGCCACTGACGAGTTCACCCCACGACCGCAAGAAAAAGTTCAAAGACGAGCCGGAAAGAAACTAGTATACATGGAATCACATTTGTTTACATAGTTTTGAAGGTAAAATGAAGGGAAGCTACTAAAGTACACGAGCCAAACAATAGAAGGAAAACGTCAAATGCAACGGGCGAATAAGCAACCGTGCAATCAAGAGCGAATCGCATATGCGCTTAAAAATAACATCATTAGACCCCAAGCGTAAGGCGAACATCCATTTAGAGTTCGAAATGATTTAAATAAATAAATAAATAAGCTTTTATTCTCGACCATGCGAGACACACCTTTACAGGCATGATCATGTTTAGCTAACAGTGTGATCAATAATGTACAAAAGTACATGTTTGGCATAACTGTGTATGTAAGTGTACGGGTGTATATACGTATGTAATTGTGTATGAATGTAGCTTGTGTCTTTGAATGTGCCGCAGCATTTTTGACTGTTTGTTGTCGTCAGGAATGTGAGCATAAGCGATTGATGTCCTTGGGTTGGATAGCACTTTCCGGATATCCACGGGCCAGTGACTTTATTTTGTGGCGAGTCACATCCGCCACGTCGCAGTGTTGATAAGCAGACATTTGTGGCTTTTTATAGGGAAAACGCTTGCCAGGCGAAAACCCACCACGTCCTGGAACACTTCCGCCGAACTATTTGCTGGAACGGGTTAAACCCGAACCACCCAGCTGGCACCACGAGGAGGTTGTTCGGCTAGCCAGCTCGGGAGGTTTGCTCAGTTGTAGTTGAGTTCTCCGAGCTGGGCAACTTGATTGCAAACGTTTCGCCATTCGAGGTGGCAGTTAAGTAGCAATAGCTAGTAGAAAGCAAAGTCAATAATGGATCTATTGGGTTTGCTTTCTACCAGCTACTGCTAGTTAACTGTTATCAATCCCGCACTGAAGATGCCATCTCGAATGGTGGCGAAACGTTTGCAGTCAAGTTGCCCAGCTCGGAGAACTCAACAACAACTGATACATTTAGACTGACGGGCACTGGCCAATCTGAATAACGACATGTAGTGTTTAAACGAATGTCACAAAACAAGGAGAATAAGAAGTGCAGACCCAATAGTTGTGTGACAACTAAATATTCCTTTAACATATCCAAGCAGAAGTGATGCGGAGAAAAACCAATAGAGTGTGTTCGTGCAAAGGTAACTGCCGAAGATGACACGGAGATGAGCGTCCATGAACAATGACGTGTATGTACCAATCGGGCTAACACAGTGGCGCGTTTAAACAACCGTCAAGAAGTTGAAAATAGGAAGAATAAAGAATAGCTATTAAGCTCGTTCACAACAAACTGAATGTCAAATAGCTATTCTCCTAACAATAAATACACGTTAGCCGAGGGTGAGGAACACACCACAGCTAAGGTGCCGTAAAACAAAAAAATAACAGACTAAACAATACAGACTAAAACTGTATAAAAAATTAACATAATACGGAATATCACATTTGTGATCGTTGTTGGAGGGGGTGAGGGACAAACAGGCTCCCAACACAAACGCCATTGAGGTCGACTCTTTGCCATGTCAGCTAGTGTATTTAACCAAACGTGTTTACCGACGTTCGGTCCCAAGCTCGGCAGTCAGGAAACACTAGCCCATGCCAACTTCGAAGTGAAGTACTTCATTCCTCTTGACCAAGTCATCGCTTGGTCTCCCTTCCTGTTCTTCCATCCAGAAGCCGGGCGCGTAAACAATGCACGATGCAGGAGTTGGTGTGCTGGAATGCACAAAACGTGGTCCAGCCATCGGATCCTGGTGGGTGATATCATGGTGCTGAGCGATTCACTCAGCACTAGTGATAAAGAACCGGTGTCAGCGATCACAGGCGTCGCTCCTAATGATATAGCCCATTTTCTGTTTAGGGGTATCTGTATGGGCTGCGATTCCGTTAACAAACGACGGACACTTTAGGTGAATGGAGAAGACAGCAATTTGTTTGTCCGGTTATAAGCTTCATTGCTATAGGTGAGCTTCACCAAATAACACATTGGAGCAGGTACCAAGTGTTTGAAATAGCGAGCAACTTCAGATCATAAAATGCCCAAGTACATGAATCGTGCTCCTAGCTCCCTGTTGACACGTACTCTTGGGGATTCTGACGATGCAGGCATTTGTTTATGTGGACAGCGCGAACAATATACTCATGCCGTTTGACAGTACCTAGGCGGTAGAATTAGCACTAGACAAACTCTAGATTGGTTCAATCGTGTAGCATTCCCTTCGCACCTTCAAAGAGTAAAGTATTCTTGCAGTACTATCAGCCAATTGATAAACCCCGGATTAAAGATCACGAGGAATTGGAGATAGTTGCTAAACTAATCTAGTATGTTGGCGGCTTTAGCAGTAACACAGGTGTTCCTGGTAGTTCGATTACCTTACTGTGTAGTTTTTGATTCGCTGTCTCTGTCTAGTAACTAGAAATGTCACAATGGTTTTAAGTTGCGAACCGGGTTGGAAAGGATCGCCGACTCCTATGTTTGTCCTTCGGTCAGTATGTACATGTCCGCTTGCTACATTGTTGAATGAAGAAGCCGGAGACTTGACCATGAATTGGTCGGACGTAGACGAACAACATAACCTAGACGATAGACGGCTATGAAACTCTCCGCTCGATCAACAGACCAATGTATTGCCAGATGGGTTCTCGCTAAACACCAACTGACGAACCAACATGTGATACGTTGGGTGCTCCCGTCAGAGTAGAGCAAATGCTAAGCAGCCCTCCTGTGGTCTGATAAAAGCAGTTTTCTTAACGTTCTCAAGACCCATCCTGTACCAATGAACGTAATACATCGTTCTATATTCAACTCTTGGCTGCTAATCAAGTATCTCGCCACCTCTATAGGTAGGTGAGCCTCGCAACGTGTGCAGTAACCTCATAAGTGATTCAGCGGCCAGACATGATACAGCCAACTGGAGATAGTAAACCGATTTTTGAGGGTCAATAGCATACCGATTCAACACACTTTAGTGGGACCCCACACGCTTAGAATACGAAACACGAGACAAAGCACAGTGATTGGGCATCAGCTTGTCCAATAGCGTTTGTAAAGAGGTGGATTCAGTTTCCAATGCCACATCGCCCATGCGATCATAATTCGTCAGTCTGTCCCCCGGGTAGAAGGAATGGTATTCAACCCAGGCAGAGCTGTTGATGTGTATTTCGCCGACAAAGATGACAGAAAGTAGAGAGAAGAAAGAAAGACCTCACGTTGGGAGAAACTTGGGGAAAAACTACTGTTTGTCAACTAGCTGTAAAGAGATCACATGAGCAAAATCAACCTCTCCTGTGCCGTCTTCATGAAGACGGCTGACCAACTTAAGGACATTCAATAAAGTCAAAGGAGATGACCAGAAAACTCAGTGGTACGCATATAGGTGGTGGAGTTTTAGCAATCAACCAGTCGCAAGTGTATGGTTACTGAGTCATGTGCCGATGTGAAAGCCAACGTGGCGATCACAGATGCGATTCTCGCGAGAGCCAGTAAATCGTAAAGGTTGTGACTACTACGGGGTGGAGACAAGATCACGGGATAGTGTAAATGCTGCAAATGCACCACCCATTTAGGTGCAAAAGGTATATTTTGATTTTATTGATGATTAGTGGTGAGGATTTTTGGTATAATTCAGCTAATTCATCGTCGTCAACCTCAAGCAGCAGGCTTAGGCTACTCTGGAAAAGCATCAGACGCCGGCGTTTCGAGCTTCTGGGTCTCGTCAGTGGTGCGCCTACCAGCGGACCACTACCGCGTTCCGCCCCCATGACTTCAGGATGCCAGCAGCTAGTGCCACTTCGCCATGGGTGACAGCCGTAGACCTGCGTACTTGACAGTTGACTATGATATAGCTCGGCTCATCTTTCACTACTATGTCAATTACGAACTGTGCGGAGGACAGTGGCTAGCCTCATGAGCTAGGACTTTCCGCATAGCGCCTTTGTACGACATAGGACTTAGAAGCTATACAGGCAGATTTTATCTTATTGATGGGTACTAGTGAGTAAGCGTCAATGAACCGTGGCCCCGCTCCCTAATAAAGACGGAGTGGGGTTGCCAGATGAAGGTGGTGTGATTGTTGTCAACGGTAACAATTCGAATGGGATCTCTTAGAACCGGAGAGGAACAGGTCCATCAACCCCTCGGGAAAAAGAAAGGACCAACGAAAGCGCCTCCAGCCCATCCGTACAGCATACAAGCCAGTAAACCTGGGAAGAAACGAGCCAGGTGAATATAGGAAGCATAGGTAGACCGTTTTATAAATCGACAATTGTTGAGCATGCGTCGGTGAGACCATCGAGCTTACCTGCATATGGCGTTCCAGCGCAGTGAGTTGCGCTTCGACGGACCTGCAATCACGAGCCACACGATCGCCAGTCCATTGCAACCTGCTCAAGCGGTTCGCCTCAGCGCGAGCGGTAAGCTCGCGTTCCCGAATCGCACGATCATATTCGGTCCACAATCGGTCAATGTAATCAATCGAAAGAAATGGATCGTTGGGTACTTGCTTGTGCTGGAGTGCGAGGTCGGAAAAGAGAACACAAAATGCGTGAGTATAAGATGACTTTCAAGAAATACTCCACTTCACAAAACATCATATCTATGGTACGAATATCACAATCTTAGTAAACCATAACTGGAAACGTATAGGAGCAAACTATTTATTTATCGCACCATTGGAAATGCGTGCGAATATTTGTAGCTCGGAATGCGAGTGCTCTCCGAGCTGGGTAATTTGGCTATAGAGGTTTCATTCTCAGGCTAGACAACATCAACAATGCGATTTATGCGGGCCAGTTACAGATCCAAGTGATTATTGCTTAGGTATTGCAAGAAACCGCACTCCCGGTTGTCATCGTAAAGCGCTCGAAGCTGGAAGAAGCACATCAGCTAATAAACAACACGTTTGCTGGTATACGTTTCACTAAAGAAGGAGAGCAGTTGTCAGCTACCATCCTTGGATGTTTTAGTAAATAGACGTGCTGCTGGACAACTGGAGACAACAGTTTATCGGAAAGCGACGTATAGAGATCAACTCCTGAATTATCGCAGCAATCATTCAAAAAGCTACAGGAACAACCGCATACTATCTACTTGTAAGAGCATAGACACATTACAGCACCCGGTAGCTGATGAAAGCGGGGGAAGACTATCCGTACACAAAGTTTACACGGAATGGGTATCCAAAGAATTTCATTCTATGTTGTTTAACATCGATAAAACGACTATCGCATGGACAAACGTCAGAATGGGATAAAAGGACAATCATCCTACCATACATCAACGGCATCGCTAAGATCGCGGAGAAACTCTTACTGCCTTTCGGAATCAGAGTTGCTCACAAACCGACAGAAACTATTCGAGATAAGCTCTTCAACAGTGAAGAACGGCTTGGCAAGGAAGAAACAAGTGGTGTGATTTATAAAATCCACTGCAAAGGTTGTAATAAATACTATGTGGGCCAGACAGGAAGAAAGGTCGGCACTGGGCTACATGAGCATAGCCTGATGTCGGTACATATGGAGGCCGAGAATCATCAGTTTGACTTAGAGGTCAGGATCAAAGGAAGGGCAAAAAGTCAAAAGTGCACGAGTTCTTCGAGGCTTGGTACTCGGTAAAATACTCAATCGACATACACTTCGATCTAGATAGTGCCTATGAAGCGCTGCGGGTCACATCAATATTCCGCCCCAGATCAACAGGACAAAGGAACGTCACTGAGGCGGACTCTAGCAAACGGAACGCAAGAGCTGACGATAAGGTCAACTCACGTGGACCAATGGACTCCTGACGTTCGAGTCAGTAAGTGATCAGTAATCAATTGGATCTGGAAGTGACCCGCATAAATCGTGCTGATGATGTCGTCTAGCCTGATGATGAAACGTCTGCAGCCAAAGCAGTCAGTTCGGAGAACACTCACATACCCTTACCGCACCATTGTTTCTGATTGGGCGAACCAGTTCCTACAAAATGGACATGATGGAACAAGCTTTAGGTCTTAAGGTGACAAGTATGATCTGTTCTGAGATCATCTCATTTGGTTTCTCAGAATTATTTCGTCCACAAAAACCAAGGAGAAGTGGCGAACTAACGTTCGGCAGGTCAGAGTATTGAGATACTTTGATGCGCTTACACTCTCTCGGTTTGAGCTATATAAGGATGGAAATAATACGAAAGCCACTTAATGTCCCCCTGTGCTGTGTTGCGTCGACGGATAAGCTAGGGCCATTGAAAGTGAAGCTACCAACAGATGCGTGTAGCCTTAAGCTCCCACAGTTGTCGAAGTGTCAGTACAATGCCTAAAATATAGGCTGGATTGGTAGGTTATTCTTCACCGTCTTGTACACACATGGCTTTATGCTGAGAATCCAGCATACACATGATATCCAAGAGTGTATTATAACTAAGTATAGGGAAAAGAATTAGCAAAAAGACACAGGATGGCACTGGAGACACTTCATAGAAGCCGTGTTTCTTAGGGTAATCAACGATTTGTTTCTTTTCCAATTTCAGTTAAAATATGGGGATATGTATTGACACGAGTTGTAGGAAATCAATGCGGAACAATCATAATTGGCATTTCACGAAAACAGGCTTATGGAGGCCTTTCAATGCATATGAGGAACTTCTCTCCCAGAACTTTACCCAAAAGTATTCAATCGCTCCCACTCATTAACCCATCGAATGCGTGACATCAATATGAACTTGGCGTGTATTTCAACAGTGAAGCGTGGTTGGCAGCATCCGGTTTCGGATTTCCCTGTCACTGTGACTAGCCACAGGGCGCGTGCGCCTAAAGAGGGACCATGGATGGCTTGCACTGCACCACCCACAGCTCCAACCACACACCCCATATCCAGTGTAAATCCGAAGGAATAAGACCCGGAGGCATGTGGATGGGAGCCACGTTCCATCAACGGAGTCGGCCCACACTCCTTCACAGGCAAACACAAGCACGCTGTATTTGGGAATCAAGCACACACAAGGCGGTGGCTGGACTGTACTCCGCTCCAAACTGAGAGCATGGAACCAGTCTTCGAGCCTATCACGACCACAAGGACCGTGCACCCCGTCCCCTTCAGCAATGACCAACTGTGTCCTGGATCCAGTATAGACGAGGTAGTGGGTAACCGACAGGTAGGCGCCTTGTCAACATGCACATCAAGCGCAGCCACACCTGGGATGTCAAACAACAGTAAATCATTCGAAATGCTGATATCATATAAAAGATATCGAATAAAGTAAACCTATGTGATGACATAAATACTCGATAAATTAACATATGGAGTAAATCGGTTATAAAGGAACCTGCGATGAGTACAACATGTCCGAAAGTTATTTAAACATTACCACGTGATCAAGTTACACAAGGTTACCACAATTAGCATGAGCGACGTGTGCAAGTTAGCAGAAGATTATCAAGTACGCAGAACAAACCAACTAAAGTGGAATGAGTTGTATCCACATTAAAAATGACCTAGTTTAAGTTGATTTAGCCGAACTGCGATGAAGAAGCATCAAGAATGCTACATCAGGCTCAACATAGGGCACACATCAGCCTCAACACACACAAATACTTTGATGTACTCAGGAGTAGGGGATTTTGATGTAATTAAGTGAGGTTCTTCGCAGCTATATCACAGTTATATTGTAAATCATAACGGTACGAAGCTATCCCCCGTGGCCAAGTGGCATAAGCTGCTGACTGGCCGCTGGTGGTCATGGGTTCGAATCCTGATGGATCCGATGGATGCGCACTACTGACGATGCCCAACAGGCTGAAACTGCAGTCTAGTGCTTTTCCGGGCATGTGGACGACTATCTGATTTGGAAACTGGCTGCGAAGAATCTCACTTAATCACACAAGTAGTTGCAGACATGTCAGCTCCACATCCAATCCTAAGTTGGATGATGTCGTCTGCGAAACACAGCTCTGTTGCTGTTGATCTGTCCCTATGCGGGACCAGTCTTTAGCATGGTGAAGAAATAAAAGATTGATTTAATACAAAATTGGAGTGGAACCATTTCTGAATAGAGCAATGGGTAAAGAATAGAGGGAAGAAAAGGAAGAATAAGGAGAAGCGAATGGAAACAATTTGGATAGGCGGGGACAGGTGACGCGATGGTGTGTGAGTCGCAGCTGTAGGATGACGATGAGCACAACACACACACAGCGTGGGGGAGTGTCGTAGCTGCAACACTTGACTTGTTGAGAAGCACAAAAGATTGGATGCCAACTGAACTAAACAGATCTAATCCTCCATCGAATTCACATATCTGCACAGGACGAGCTGCACGGCAACAAAGGAGACTTGTTGGACACGAGTGACTGCCCATAGAGAAGGTTGTGATATTCGGTGTAGAAACGTAACAAACACGTTTATGCTAAATTGATCGTGGTCTGCTCTACGAAGCGACATATAAGAAGTGAAATCTGTCCCCTGACTCACTTTCCATAGTGATCATGATCTCGGGGTCACACCTGTTTAGTGTTTCTAGCAGGCTGTCTGCCTTCCGAGCATTATCGACAACCAAGAAGGTATCAGCCATCTACCGGATGTAGAAGTGCGTGATTTGCTGCAATCGGTTATTCCCTAGGTGGCACATGCAGATGTCTGCTAAGACTGGTCCAAGCGGATTACCGAGCGCTAGGCTTCTAATTTGTGGATAAAGGTCCCAAGCAAAGCTAAAGTAAAAATCCGTTGTACAAATGCGAAGTAGGGCCTCTAAGAGATGTGCCAGAAAGCTTACCATGCCCCGGGTGAGTATCTATGACGTTGTAGCATGTAGACTTTAACAAACGTTCAAGGTCTTCTCCAGAGGGACATATGTGAAGAGGGAAGAGGCAACGGAGGATACCATTGGCTTCACCTTTGCGTTTCACTACTAGATTTTGCCAACGAAGTCAAACGTGTCTCTCAAACTATATCGGACCGTAGCATTAAGGACCACAAGCTTGCTTTGTAATCAGAGGGAGTGGGTTCGAGTCTGCGTAGGGACCGGGAGACCCACCCAGTATCCTTAGTCCACGTGCGATTCGTGGTGGTTGCGCTGTAGCGAAGCGTCGGTACGGTGTACTGCTGATGCCTTCTTCAAACTATACACATTCAACTAAGATTGGACAGACTCGGTCAATTTGGCCAACCATCGTGCCAGTTTTTGTCAGGAAGTATACTAACAATACCAAAGCGATATCCACCATGGGAAGTGGGTCACGGGGCTCATTTCACTTCTTGGATGCCGCTTTGAGAAGAAGACCGGATAACCCAAGCCCACGATCAATTCACCATAAACCGAGGTAGACAGGCCAACACCTATATTTCAACAGATACCGTCTCATGAACTGCAATCGATTTTTGATATATATATATATATATATATATATATATATATATATATATATATATATATATATATATATATATATATATATATATATATATATATATATATACTCGTTTGCTAGTGATACGCAACCCGAGAAGACAGTGATAGATAGCCAGCAGGAAAAGAGATACGAAACACTGAGTCCTGATGGTGGTGGTTGGTACAGGGATCCGAGAGCACTGAGGATGTTGGTGGTAGACCGGTCTACTACCACCGGTTGTTACAGAGCATGGAGAGTGTGCAGTTTGAATTACCCTAGTCAAAGCAAACATATCATGAGAACAGCAAGCATACAGTCACAGAGTGCTTACCCAAAGGTAGGATGAGATCAAGGCGAAACAGCTTCCATGAAGTGTCCGTGATCTGTGACGCAGATAATATTGACCCACATATTACCTGACAGCAGCACACGTTTTCAACAGACAGTGCGGTAACGATACTACTGCAACAGTGTCCTTGTCAGTGATGCGAACCATGGCCTATATGGGGTCTCGAGTCCAGCGGAAAGCGGATCTCGTGAACCACCACCCGGTTTTAGTCCTGAGCGACTATGTTTACGAGGATCAAATAATCCATTAGTCTTGACAAGCAGAGAAAAGAAAACCACTCACGATTAGGCATGAGTGGGTGCGCATACCACGTCTCCGAACCAACGTTAACTATTCAACCTTGTTTACTAACATACTGAACTGATTTGTGACACTCTTCCTAGTAAACCACTGCATACTTCCACATTGTGAACACACCAGTATCAACCAATGCGTTACTTGGTGGAGGCGATGAACAAATATTTGAAGGTGCCTGAGATACTTAAATCTGAGGGGTCAAGTCCCATTCCGAATAGGTCCGGCCAGTAGCCTAGTGGTAACGAGCTTGTCTCGTACTCATACTGTGCGCATTCGAATCCGCGTAGGAGTAGGAGTGGGATAGAAAGGTGTACCTGAGAAATATGTGAATATTATCCGAGCATTATATGCGCGTAGCTCGGGCAGAGTGAGGGCTTACGGCAAGTTGTCGTTGCCCTTTAATTTCTCCGGCGGCGTGAGACAAGGATGCCCGCTGTCACCTTTCCTCTTCAACTTCGCTGTTGACGAAGTCACGGAAATCGCGTTCACAGGACACGAATTAGAAGACGTGGAGCTACTCCCAGGAAAAGGACTTCTTGACTTAGAGTATGCTGATGATATTGCCCCAACCTGTGACAGCTCACAAATGTGCCAAGCGACACTGGACAGATTAGCACTGGCTGTCCGTCACTTCGGGCTTTGCTTCGCACTCTCGAAGTGTAAAACGTTCCTCCAAGATTGGTCTGGACCGCCTCCTACGCTGACCGTTGGTGGGGATCAGCTAGAAGTCGTTCAAAAATTCAACTACCTGGGAAGTTGTATCAGCGCCCATGGGATTGAAGATGAGATCACGTATCGTATAGCAAAAGCTTGGGACGCTTTTGCTAACCTTCGACACTTATGGCGTCGGCGCGACATCACTCTTGCCCTGAAGGGTAGAGTGTACAATGCAGCAGTACGTTTGACCCTACTGTACGGTTGTGAAACCTTGCCGCTTTAAGCAGCGGACCTGCAGAGGCTGGTTACGTTCGATCACCGGTGCCTTGGTAATTTAGCTCACATCTGGTGGGAACATCACGTGAGCAAAGAGCGTGTTCGACGCCTTGTTTACGGCACAGGAAAAGGAAATGAACCGCTCAGCACCGATATTTCACGCATCAGGCTCAGATAGCTCGGTCACGTGTTACGCATGTCAGCCCACCGACTCCCGCGACGTGTGTTGTTTGCGGACCCGGGGCGTGGATGGAAGAATAGGAGGGGTGGCCAAGCGATGACTTGGTGCAGAGGAATGAAGGCCCTCACTTGGAAGCTGGGCTCGGTTGGAGCGTCTCGGCTCCCTGGTTGGGGTCCGAAAGACGATGAACACGTTTTCTTAGACACACTTGCTGATATGACTAGGAGCCGACCACAGTGGCGTTCGTGTTGTGAGTTTCTTTGTCCCACCGCATCCCTCTTAGCCTCCCCCTCCAACCACGATCTCACTATTTAGCCCTATGTAATTTTGCATAGTAAATTTTTCTTGATGCACAGCAGCCGGCTGGTAGCTTACCGGAACGATGCCCATCCGTTACCGGTAGCTTGGCCGGTTTGCCTCAGCTGAATTCTTTTTTTCTCTCATTTTTTCTATGTATTGCGGCACAGCAGCTGAGGTGTTTCCCACCTCTGGCTAACGTGTATGATGATGATGATGAGGGGTGGGAATCCTCGCTGTATACTCAACCCGCGGGCGACTGGTGGCGGTCGCCCGGCAGCAAAATGCCGTTACGGTGTGCATCTGACACGTTATATCATTATTATTAATTTATTAATATTAGTATTATTATTTTTATGGGAAAACTGTCTTCGTGGCGATCGGGTATGTACAACGTAGACCAAGATACATTCTCGTTGAACGCCTGACAGTCCACAGATTCACAAAGACAGTTCCATCAGTTGTAATACGTGAAGCAGTCTCAGTATCTTGTCACCGTGAATGCCACCACCACGATAGGTTAAGTGATCGCCTCTCCCTGCAGCCCCCACCCCACCGCCAATGGTCAATAGTGAGAGGCAACCAAGCAACACTTTCGAAGGGCAAAGTGGATATCAATGGATTGGATCATTCCAGTTGGTTTATCAAGCTTTGACTGCACCGGAAGAAGATCAACTACCGGTTATCCCTAGAGCAAAACTTGAGTCATTGTGTTGTGTATCGTCGCAAGAGAATACGTCAAAAGACGTCAGGATGCGATAGTGTGTTCTATGCTCGCAGAAGGTAGTCGACACCGCTTCTTCACATTCAGTAACAGTATTATCATGACGGATCGAATAAACGCAGCTAAGTTCATCGGGCCACAATCAACTGATTGACACAACGTTGGCAGACTCGGCACGGCGGCTATTATGTCTGGAAAAGCGAAACGGACGACTATTTCATCCGTTTTGATTTTGTCAGTAGTGGAACGAGAAGCCGGGATTCTACCCTCACGAACCAGTCGGCAATACTGCCGTCATATTATAGCGCAGATCGTGCCCGGATTAACTACACGGTGGTTTAGTGGAAGGGGAAGGGTGACCTTCTCCAAGAACAACGGCTTTCCAAAGTTAAGCCGTCACTTAACGTATGGCATTGTAAACAATTTGAGGTGAGGACGAGTACAAGGAGACTTGAATGGCATACGTTGGATTCAATACACTAACATGGATGTCTTCAGCGTTTGACACCTTGTGTACGGATTCGCAGGTTTTAGGCGCAAGACTGACAGTCTTAACAAAGCATGCGTATATAATGTATGGTGGGCAAGATAACAGAAACACAGTCGAGACAGGGAACACGCAAGCAACACATGACACAGCGATGGGAATATTGACACGTGCCTTTAATTCCTCGTTCAACCGCACCAACTGCTGCCGTTCGCGTTCCCGTCTGGGCCGTTCCTCTAATCGGTGTCGTTTGAGCGCCTCCAGTACTTTGCTTTGTATACCCTCTAGATCCGAAGGGAAGTTTCGTGTGGCCATCTGACTGGTGGTCAACTGTAGCCATTGCGCTAATTCCGTGGCAATAGACTTGTACTCCGCCCATCGAGAATTTAGCAGCTTGGAGGATTCAGATGGCAAAATCGCCCGAGTGGAGTGCGATGCACCGTCGTTTGACGCGATGATATACAGCGGAGGCATCGGCGGCACTGTCTGTATGTCTGCTGTTAGCGCCTCGTAGAGTGAAGCCACATAGGTGATGATCGATCTTTCGTCGACGGCAGTTGCCAGATCTATGGAGAGAGAGAGAGAACAACAATCGGTTGCGCAACACTGCATGGGTTTAAGTGAACAAGCGACGACCGTGCGTCCGCACTGCAACTTCCTTAACCTAAAAATAACTAAGGATCAATACAAACATCGTGAGGATAGATGAATTGGAATGATTGGCATAACACACAGTAAATTGCGCAATCGCCTACGCGGGGCAGTCGGAATTTGTCGCCTCTTAAATGACAGTTGGCTGGAGTCGAGATTCGACTAGACACACCCGTGTCTAATCGATGGCTACCATAATAGCAGTTGTGCGACCAGGTGCAAGTTCGCATCTAACGCTGTGCTGTAACGTTTAGCCGCAGGGCATACGGCCGATGGTGTGCGGGTCCGACGTAGACCGAAATCTCTCCTTAACAGTTTTTTGGTACATTTGGAGCCATATCCACTGACGACGAGATATAAGTAACGCGACCACAGTGTGTGCGTGTGTGTGTAAAGCCGATCGCATGGGAGCGCACGGTTTCGATCGCCGATACATCGCAGGTGCGCAAGGGATAAGGACGCGTATGCCATTTACACCTGGATACAGCCGGATATGGATCTTCTGCTCCCATATCAGTGGATTAAAACCAGTGCAGAAGATCGTAGGGGGTGAGGTCAAAGCAAAAGTGGAGGAATCATAGAAGACTTAAAATTGTTGGCAGCAATGGTGTGCTAAACACGCCCTGTTCAAAAACATTGAAACTACATTTTTGGGCAGAGAAAGGGAGGGAACTAACCTTCCGCATCGAATAACCGGGTCACTTGGAGGTATTTTTCGGCCACCGTGAAGGCTAAATCAAGGTTTTCCTTAGCGTTTTGACGATTGATCAGTTGAAAATCGATCAAGTCAGGTCTGTGGGCGAGAATAAGTGCGACTCAATAAGGACGGTCAAAAAGTGTGGACAAAAAGTAGAACACAGGGAGTTTGTTCAATACGGCAATTCAAAACCCATAGAAGCTTGAAAGAAATCGGACAGACATATAAGGTGCTAGTAGGCTATGGATCTGAAAGGGAATAGCGGAATAAGGTAACTATGCCCTGTTTTCAAAGGTGCAATTGTCGGTCGCTGGCCAAGCGGTACAAATGTCACTAGTTCGAGGGCGCGCAGGTGCGGGCGACGACACAGTACCCTAGCTCGCGCAAGGTGGCTAGTGACCGTGTGGCTGTGGAGAGTCGACGGGAAGGTGTTGGTATGTGTCCACTCAAAAGAACAAGGATACAGTTACTCAGTGGGAACAGCCGTGTTTATGGGCACATGGTGTAACTCAAGAGGGCAAGAATCGAACCCACTGAATGGCTGACACTGAGATATGAAGAGACGATATGGATACATCCCAGTTGACAGGGTACGACTGATTCCATTCAACTACACTGATGTGATGGGATTTGTATATGAACTGGGGAGATGGACGCATTTCGAAGGACGTTCGATGTCCAACACGTGGTGCATCACAGTACTGAACTGGAGTCCATCAACCCAGTTACAACGTGATAACTGCGTTCCCTGTCGCAGCGAAACTAACACATACCAAACGGTTGGGGCGAAAACACATGATACCTACCCGCTACTCGGAGGTCCCGGGTTCGAGGCCTGCCATCTCTACCTGATGAGATCAAACGAGATTGAAATGCGTAGCTGAGTGCAGTGTTTTCGGGCGGGCAACACCCAACTCCCATACGCTTTAGCTACGGTCCTAGTGATCACATTGAGCAAGGTTCACTTTGAGAGGATTGCGCTGTTTTCCGAGCCGGACATTTCCGTAACAGAGGTTTCGTTACCAAACTAGGCAACATCTTCAGTGCGCCTATTCAGTGTAGATTCGCGGTCTCGCAAACCACTGCCAGATCCGAATGACTATTGATTGTTACCTGCCTCGACAGTCATTCGGATCTGACAGTGATTTGCGAAACTCCGCGAATCTGCAGTGAATAGGCGCACTGAAGATGTTGCCTAGTTTGGTAACGAAACATTTGTTACAGAAATGTCCGGCTCGGAGAACAGGACAATCCTCTCATCCACACCCCGAGCCATAGGTATTCGCAATAATTTCCAAAGGTTCAGTTAGATGTGAATCACGGTCCACATTGAGATTGCGCGTTGCAATCTCATTCACACAATGTGTGCTTCAAAATGGCTCTCCAATAAGACGGGGCTTGCTTCACTTACATTCCCCTGTGATATCCGAACGCAGAAAATCGCATGAATCCGGATGAATGATATGCGTCGATTGTGTCTCCGATTTAATGTTGCGGCTGAGCTGCTAACTTCGTATTGATGAACATCTTAGATGGGAACTGTGACGATAACTCGAGGTTAGTGAAGGCATTGTCCTATACTGGCTACTGTAACCACTTGTACGTCAACGCACAATAACCAGAGATTGGTATGCCATCCACTTTATGCCACAAGTGCTGGAAACTGTAGCCATTCGTGGTACAAGAACTCGAGTACGAGGGACCTTGCTGCACCATGACAACGCACCTGCACAAAGGTCACATGTCGGCGTAGATTTTCCAGCTGGAGAACGCATCCAGGAGGTTGGTCACCCACCCTACAGTCCAGACCTGGCTCCGTTTGACTTTTTGTTCCCGAATCTCAAGCGCATTGGGTGTGGAATCAGTTACGAGTCATCAGAGATGCCTGAGGGGTTACCCGTTTCAGCATGGTTTAGCTGCTTCTCCAAAAGTGGTCTGAGCGTATGGAACTGTGCATGAACGCTGGTGGAGAGTACTTAGAGAACATGTACTGTTTATTTTGTTGTAAAAAATAAAACCTTTCGTGCATCGCGAAAACGTGTTGCCCTATACTCGTAGCACATGGAAGCCGGCGCAGCTTAACGCATGTGAAGCATGAGGGAAAAGTAAAACTAATATTTCGGTGAAGTCAAACCAAGAACACTTTCCACATGTTCTTCTTCCATCGGAAGAATAACGTACTGCGACCAGTGCCTCGCGTAATCAGGGGTAAGAGTAGAGTCCCAAAGCCCACCCATCCAGTGATATTCCAAGTGCATAAGTAACGGTGCTGTCCGCCATGTCAGGAGAGTGTCAATGAGTCCTAGAAACACAACAACCAATGGGTTGTGGGTTGTAACGGCGGCACCGGATGCAATGACATAATTCATGTTTGCGTCAAAGTATCCATGAAAGTCAAGGAGGCACAGATCGCGAAGGTCAATACAAAAGTCACTTGCTGGTCGATCACAAATTGACGACCAAATCGGCGGACTGCATTTGATCCAAAACCACCCTGAGGAAGTCACTTCGTTTGGTGATGAAATATTTGTAAACCAATTATGATTCTCGGTGAACAGGAACCCATTAGTGTCAAATTAAGGAACAAAAGATGATTTGGATGAATGGACATAAAAAGTATCTCAGTATGATCGAATGTATCCATTGTGTATGGTTTCTGATGAAAAAGAGACCTGATAAAGCAACCGACCAACCTGTATCGATGGATTAGTGCCAAAATGGCTCGTCCGTCGCGCCAGGAATCGGTAAAGTCACGAATAAAAACGCCTGGATATCCGGAGGTTGCTTCACGGCACCAGGTGAGCAGGCTAAGTCTGGCGACCTCGTCCACAGATGCCTCTGCGTTTAGCATGGCGCTGATGCCCGGACGGTCTTGCATCACTGCCGTCAACTACAGGAGAAAGATGAGTAAGTCAAAAGTCATTTAATAGTTGTATAAGTAAGGCATCGTGGAAGAAAAAATGATGGATAAGTGAGTTACATAGAGGAAAGATGGAAAACAAATGGTGCACAGTGTCCGCTCAAGCCGTGGACGGCTCAAAGTTTGGAAGAATCCATAAAAGTTTAAATACTGAACTTCACTGGTTACGCGAAGATGTGAATAGCGAGTCTTCTCGGCGATACAGAGAATGAGGGAGCACGGAACCTCGACATGCACATGAAATCACTTCAGACTGTGTGTCAAACAATGCACTTGCTACGAATGTCCGACAAGTATCGCAGACAGTGACAAGATGCCGAGGAAAGATTCATTATTTCCCAGATAAAAATTGACAAAGGTTGAAAAAGTTTTAGTGGAAAATGTGGATCTCACCATATGTGTGATGAGATGACGTAAAAGATCTAGACAAAGTTGTGTCCCGACTCTTTGCGCAGACTGCATCATTTGTATGACAGGGGGGAGTGAGTTGAAATGAATCGCCAAGAAGCTGATACGGCAAGTTGATCTAAGAACAACAGGTTGCATAAAACACTCTGAGTTAGTACTCGCTAATCAGTTTCACTGTGGACCAGAAAAGCTAGTGGGGGACAATCGGACTTACGTGGAGGCGATGGACAGAATTTAGAGTAGTGCAAAGTTCAGGTTACATCAGGTGCTTGGAGAACAGCCTAATACACAAGCGGTTTAGCATAGTAATAATTTAAGAGCGGAAGAATCGTTTGTTATCGTAGCAATCTTCGCAATGGACATTTAGCTACTAAATAGTCTGTCTTGCAAAGGTCTACAGTTAGCTAACCACTACGTTCGACCACCGGTGCCTCTGTAATTTAGCTCATATCTGGTGGGAACACCACGTGAGTAACGGGCGTGTTCCACGCCTTGTTTACGGCACAGGAAAAGGAAATGAACCGCTCAGCATCGTTATTTCACGCACCAGACTCCGATGGCTCGGCCACGTTTTACGCATGCCAACCCACCGACTCCCGCGACATGCGTTGTTTGCGCGCCGGGGGTGTGGATGGAAGAAGAGGAGAGGTGGTCAATCGATGACTTGGTCGAGAGGAATGAAGGCCCTCACTTGGAAGCTGGCCTCGGTTGGAGCGTCTCGGCTCCCTGGTTGGGGTCCGAAAGACGATGAACACGTTTGGCTGGATACACTTGCTGGCATGGCTAGGAGCCGACCTCAGTGGCGTTCGTGCTGTGAGTTTCTTTGTCCCACCGCATCCCTCTTAGCCTCCTCCTCCAACCACGATCTCACTATTTAGCCTTATATAAGTTTGCATAGTAAATTTTTCTTGATGCACAGCAGCCGGCTGGTGGCTTACCGGAACGATGCCCATCCGTTACCGTTAGCTCAGCCAACTTGCACCAGTTGCATTTTTCCTCCTTTTTTCTATATATTGCGTCACAGTAGCTGAGGTGTTTCCCACCTCTAGCTAACATGTATGATGACGATATATGATGATGGCTAACCACTGGGCTCACGGCTGGTGGGAGCATCGAGTGAGCATTGAGCGTGTTCGGCGTCGCGTATTCGGTGCAGGAAGAGCGTGTGAACCGCTCAGCATCATTATATCACGCAGCAGGCTCCGATGGTTGGGCCACGTGTTGCGTATGCTAGCACACCGACTCCCGCAACGTGCATTGTTTGTGCGCTCTGCGTGCGATTGGAAGAGGGGAGGCCAAGCGATAACTTGGTCGAGAGAAATGAAAACCTTCACATGGAAGTTGGCGTCGGGTGGTGCATTTCGACTGCCTGGCTGGGATCCTCAGGACGATGAACAGGTTTGGTTGAACACACTTGCTGATATGGCTAAGAGCCGGCCCCAATGGTGTTTGTGTCGTGAGTTCCTTTGTCTATCCCCTCCTGCTTAGCCTCCCCCTCCAATCACGATCTCATTCGCTAGGCATAATATAACTTTTTAAGGCACGATAGCCGGCTGTTAGTTCTCTGGAACAATGTCCATCCGTTACTGGAGACTCAGACGGCGTGTCACCGTTGTACTTTTTGCATCTTGTCTTTTGTATTGCGGCACAACAGCTGTATTTTCCACCTGTAGCTAACGTGTATGATGAAGATGATGATCGCAGGGTCCCGCCGGTCATCTGCTTTGTATTTAGGCATTACTATCCCTAATTTCCAAGCGCTAGGTAAGCGGCCCTCCGCAAGAGAGCCGGAATACTCAGGACATTGGATCGCTGATGTATTCGGTCGACATCCTGAGGAATAGTGGGTGTAGTCCGTCAGGGCCAGGTGCGGAGTTAGAGTTAAAGTCTCGGATTAGTCGCATGACCATCTCGACGCTAATTGCAACTGGCTCAAGAGTTGGGGGAGCACAAGGAAACATCGTTGTTGGGCACCGGCGGCTCTACCGAGTAGTCTGCTGAATACCGCGAGGCCAGTAGATTGGCTTTCTTGTCATTGTGATGGAGTACAATGCTTTCTCCAGGGGCAGATAGAGAAGGGATACCATCACCCGCTTTGATGTTTCGCCTTATGTATAAGAATAGCTTCTTCGGGAATGTTCCGGTTTGAACAGCCAGGTATTGTTAGTATTGAGCTCGCTTCTGCCGCTGTTTCAGAGTGCACAAGTTTCCAAGGTTTCCGTATTTCAGGTGATCCGAGGCTAGTTGTGTACTCTTGAATACGGTCCAGAGTTTACGCCATCTGTTCGGTAAGGATTTCCGTTCTCAGTCGATCCAGTTGATCCTGTAAGGAGTGACACCTCCTAACGAATCGACCGGTGGCGCCTGTTTTTGACGAGAATCAACGGATTCTGCCAAAACGTCTTCAAACGGGACCGCTCCATTCTCGAACAGCGAACAAAAAGTTGGTTGGCTGTGTAGCTTCGGTACAGACTGCCCGTACGACATTCTGTGAGTGTTGGCGGTAATGATTTGCATAAATTCAAATGTTATGTACCTAAGATATATGTTGTAACTTGCGAACTATGGAGAATCAAAACTTGATAATAAAGTTTTAAGATATTTCTTCGGTACAACCTGAACGTCAGCACCATGAGAATCATTGCAGTGTAGAGAGCAGAAGGAAAGACCTCTGTCAGCTCCGTCACCTCCCAATCATAGGTGTTCGCGCAACAGCAATCAACAAGTTAGGTCGTCACGCTTGCATGAGAAACAACAAGATCCCTGCAAATTCAACAAGTATAAACCCAACAATCGTTTAAAACATTCCTCAGTATGCGCGTTGACGACGGAAGCAGGCAAGGAGTTACAGTCGTTCACCAGATGAGTCGATAGGGTAAAATCAGAGCGAAGCCTGAGTCTCCTAGGCTTAAACAGTTTTAAGCAATGGCCCCTAGACGAACACTGGGTTAATCGGGAAGAAACCCTGGAGCTCGATTCCTATCTCACCTCGCAGAATGCGTCCAGCGTAGATCAGATCGCCTCGGCGACGACGATATTTCAGAGAGAACATATACAACTGCTGAAGGCGAATATGATATGGCAGGTGTCGTAGCTCAAAAACGCACTTACAACCGCGCCGATGAACTTTCTAAATCAAGTCATGTTCAAACTTTGTAAGCGGATGAACTGCGGGTAATCCATATTCGAGGATTGGACGCACATGGGAGGAAAACACGAGTCTGAAAATCTCCGGAGTCAATCGTGAGAGGATCTTCGGATAGAGCACAGTAGTTCGTTGGTCGCGGCAATCCTTCTCAAAGTATCCTGGGTAGTTTTTAGACCAGAGGATGCAACAACCCCAGAGACACTTTCTAGTTTTCATATAATTAAGCAAATAACCGCCAATGTGGTAAACACCGAATGGTACAGTAGCGCCAATGGGGAGTACCGAACATGTATCGTGGCTTTTAGACAACTGCCATCAAACTTATCAATCGTGGAGCAAATCAAGTGCAGTTCGGAAGATCGTATTTAATGGGAATAAAAGCTCGAGCTTTACATGACCCATAGGGTAAAAAGAGTTCGGGTCGGGTCTGATGAAAGGTAAAGCAGGTTGGACTCCGTTGTTAGCCGTATCTTCATCGGGCTTATGCGGCATTTAAATAGAATGCACGCCAGCTCAAAGCGTGACATCCCACTACGCCCTCCGAAACGGCTATGGAAAGGAATTAGGTAAAAGAGAAAAAAGGAAAGAAACACCATCAAGTAGAAGGTAGTTATATCAGGGAATATCGCGGTGTAGCTCGGCCAGATGACAGTCCAGGCGGGTCTTAAAATCCGCCACAGTGGGTGCCAAGACTAAATCGGCAGGCAGAACATTCCACGGTCGGCAGATTCGCAAAGCGAAGTAATGTCGTCTGCAGTTCAGTCGACTGTGCTGATATGTGGGCCTCAGTGGGTGGCCACGTAGGTGGGAGCACGATTGGTGCAGTGTGAGTAGGCGGCGACAGGGATGTCCAGGGTTGGATAAGATCATAAATATAAGGATCAGGTCGCCCCGTAGACGTCGGTACTTAAGCGAGCAGAGGCCCAGGCAGTGAAGTCGTTGTGGATAATCTAGGTGCTTGAGACCTCGGACCAGTTTTGTTGCTCGACGGTGTGGGGCTTCGAGTATATGTTGGTCCTTCAACAACCAGGGGCTCCAAGCCTGAATAGCAAACCCCAAGTGGAGTCGAAGAAAGGCGTTGAGGAGGAGGCGGAAATTATTAGGGTCAATTCGACCGAAGGCTCGTTTGAGCAATCCCACCATGCGGTTAGCAGCAGCAGCTACTTTCCGGCAGGAAGCTGATCCGGAAAGACTCGTCTGGGTAATGATACCGAAGTCTCTTTCGGCTGAAGAGATCTGGAGAATAGACGCTCCCAGGTAATATATAGGAGAAAAAGCGAAAGAGCGGGAAGAAAGGACGCGACATTTTGAAGCGTTAAATTGAAGGTTTTCTATAGACCACTGAGGTAGACAGTCGAGGTCCGTCTGAAGTGCGTGGGCATCGTCCAGAAGGTAAATTGTGCGCCACAGCTTCGC